TTTCCTGATTTTAAACAACGTAATATCCCCTTGTTCTGTTTGAACAACTGCCTCTTGGTCTATGTACAGGTTCCTCATGGGCACAATTAAGTGTCCTAGAATTCTCATCCTTTGCAATGTTATCCATTATTTGTTCTGGTCCACACGGTTGAATGTCTTTACATAGTCAATAAAACATAGATAAACATCTTTCTCGTATTCTCTGCTTTCAGCCAAGATCCATTTCACATCAGCAATGATAATTCTCATTCCACATCTTCTTCTGAATCTAACTTGCATTTCTGGCTGTTACCTGTCAATGTAGTACTGCAGCCATTTTTTCAAATTATCCTCACTAAAATTTTACTTGCGTGTGATGTTAATGCTACTGTTTATTGATATCTGCATTCTGTTGGATCACCTTTCTTTGGAATGGGTACAAATACGGATCTCTTCTAGTTGGTTGGTCAGTAGCTGTCTTCCAAATTTCTTGGCATAGAGGAGTGTGCACTTTCAGCGTTGTATCTGTTTGTTAAAACATGTTAGTTGGTATTCTTTCAATTCCTGGAGCCTTGTTTTTCACCAATGCCTTCAGTATAGCTTCGACTTCTTTCTTCAGTTCCATCAATTCTTGATCATATGCTACCTCCTGACATGGTTGAACGTCAACTAGTTCTTTTTGATACAGTGACTTTGTATTCCTTCCATCTCTTTTGATGCTTCCTCCGTTGTTCAATACCTGGTCCATGGAATCCTTCAATATTTCACCTTGAGGCTGGAAGATTTTCTTCGGTTCTTTCAGCTTGAGATTTGCTGAGCATGTTCTTCCCTTTCAGTTTCCTAACTCTAGGTCTTTGCACATTTCGTTGTAATACTCTACTTTATCTTTTTGAGCTGCTCTTTGAAATCTTCTGTTCAGCTCATTTACTTCATAATTTCTGCTGTTTGTTTTAGCTATGCTACATCCAAGAGCAAGTTTCATAGTCTCTTCTGACATCCTTTTTTTTTTTTCCTTCCTGTCTTTTTAATGAACTTTTGCTTTCTTCACTTATGATCCCCTTGATATCATCCCACAAATTGTCTGATTTGGTCATTAGAGTTCAAGGCCTCAAATCTTTTCCTGAGGTGGTTTCTAAATTCAGGTAATGCTACAAAATATGTTCCAGTTTTATTTCTTTCATTGAGAAATAATTGGAACAGATTTTGTGACATCACCATTTCTCATTTGCTACATTTATATTCTTTGGGATCATATGTTTAAAAGGAATTCAGATTTCCCTTTTACTATTTACTTTTCTCAAAGGCTAATTCCTAGTTAAAACTCTACCCAAGCTTCTAAGCTTTATATATCCATGGTATGGATATATAAATTACGTAGTTCACTAATCATAGAAAAGCACCTACAGTGTTCAAGTCAGTCCACCAGGCACTGCAGGGAGTGGTGGGAGTCCAAAGATGCATCAGCGATGGATCTATCTTTAGTGGATTTTTAAATCTCATGTTGATTATTACTTATATGTTGCTTCTGCAACAAACCTTTTATCAGAGTAACAAATATTGAAACTTAATGAATTTATAGAACCTTCAAAGTTGATGTTGAAAAATTCTGAAGCCTGGATGACCCCATGGTGAATGAGTATCTGAAAAGTAGCGAACTGACTACATTTAGTTGAGAAAACAAAGGGTGAGGCCTCAGCCTACATGTTGTTGTTGTTATGTGTTGTCGAGTCGGCCCCGACTCATAGCGACCCCTCCTTGGGTTCCCGAGGCAGTATCACAATGGAAGTAGATTGTCCAACCTTCCTTCTGAGGAGTGGCTGGTGGGTTTGAACCGTCTGCCTTCTGGTTAGCAGTCAAGTGCCTCAGCCTACACAGTGAAACGAAAAATTAGGAGAAACCTTTAATCACAAGCTAATGAAGCCATCTAGTGGTTGTTTCATAATTTAAGTTTGGACTATCTAAGGCAACTTGGATTGATTGTGTGGGTCTCTAATCAAGTGCGGCTAAGAGTCTGCCCGCTTTTCATTCATTCCTATAGGCAGGGTCAGTTTCATTGAAGATGAGCTCAGTGATGCTCTAATAATTTATTTATAACCTTCTTTCTACCAAAAGGATTTAAGGCAACTTATAGGAAAATATGGTGAAATAATTTAAACTAGAAGATGAGAAAGAGAAAAAATACGAATAATGACATGAAAGTAGCCCAAAGTGATAGCAATTCAAAAATACTTACTAAATCTTATCTATCTTTCATGAAAGGGCTCTAAATTTTCAGGTAAGAGAAGAAACTGGTCAGTTATAAAATTTACAATGGCTATAAAGACAATTTTCAGAAAAAGTCAAACTGTACTTGATCCTAAGAGCCAAGAACATTTTCTTCTAGGGGGTCCTCATAAGTAGAATCCTTTATGATGTAATATATGACATGGTCAATCCTTATGGTGGAAGTAATTCTGAGTCTTGGAGAATCGTTTGTTAGTTTTGTCTCCTCTGATTTGAGAGGGGGGTGGATGTGAGGCAAGCCAAGATTCAGTCTAAGCACTTACATTAATTCATTTAATCCTCACAATAAGCCTATGATGTTGTTGTTGCCATGTGCTGTTGAATCGATTCACACTCCTAGAAACCCTATAAGACAGAGTAGGACTGCCACATCTTTGTTCCACAGACTGACTCGTGGGTTTGAACCACTGACCTTTCAATTAGCAGTGCCTATGAAGTAGGTGGGAGCTCTGGTAGCAAAGTGCCTAAGGCACTTGACTGCTAATCAGAATGCTCGTGGTTCAAACCCACTAGCCACTCCTCAGAAGGAAGATGGGGCAATCTACTTCCATAGTGATACTGCCTCGGAAACCCAAGGAGTGGTCGCTATGAGTCAGGTCCGACTCAACGGCACATTACAACAACAACAACATGAAGTAGGTAGTGTTGTTATACTCATTTTGCAGATGAGCCAACTGAGACAGAATGAAGTTCAGAATGTGTCCAACATTACACTGCTGATAAATAATGCAGCTGAAATTCAAACCTGGATCTTTTCTAAGATGCTATCCTGCATGGTCAATTAAGTAATTGTAAAGCTGAAAACAATTATTTGAAGCTAACCCCTCAACTTATAGTCTGTGGGGGAATTAGAAAGGTATGTTTTAAAATTATACTAAAGAAGAAGTCAGAGTTGCACATTTTGAGTTGACTTAGTTACCTTTGCTTTCTTCCAGAGTCACAGACTTTAAGCCCCACCCCAATCATCACACTCATGTGAGCGCGCACGCACACGCGCACACACACATCAGCACTGCCTTGTTCAGAAAAGGAGGACCAGGGAGACGTTTCAAATCCATCCCTTCCTGACTTGTAGAGGATGGCTGAAATCCCATGCCATTTTTAATGGCATATCTTCAGACCTAAGGTCTAGAATGCAATCATAACAAAATATACTTTTCTACCTTGTCTTTTCAAAGTGTTATCTATAAACATTTGTGAATGGCAGCTAAACTGATTTCTCTTAGCCAGTCATGAAAGTTGGTTAGCCTTGAGCAAGGCACACCTTGAAAGATGCTTAGTAGGGAAATAACGGCATCACTGAAAAATTTTCAGTTGGAGGAGTCAAAATGTCATATAACTTGAGTCTTAAATTGAGCATTTACAATGTTTTTTAAAACTGTGTATTAGGATAGTTGCACAGTTAATGTTTTGGCTAAGAAAGAGAAAAAAGTATACTTTATAAAATGACTGTGCTATATTGATACCAAAGCCAAACGCACTGCCATTAAGTCAATTCTGACTCATAGTGATACTATAGGACAGAGTAGAACTGCCTCATAGGGTTTCCAAGACTGCAGATCTTTATGGAGGCTGCCTGCTTCATCTTTCTTCACTAGAGTGGCTGGTGGGTTTGAACCACCAACCTTTTGGTTAGTAGCCCAATGCTTTAATCACCACTCCACTAGAGGTCCTTTCTATATTGATAAATCTCCTAAAAAAACACAAATTTCCATGACATTTTAGAGGAATTCTGAGCTCAAGGAAGATTCTAATGTTCATGAAAGATTCAAGTGCCCACATGGGGCCAACGTGATGGCCTACTACCCTTAAGACTAATAAAGAAGTTTTCAGAGTGATAACCTTTTAATAATTCTGCTGAATCCTTGCAAGATTCACCCTAAAAGGTAATATATATGAAAAAGAGAGATGCTGGGATATGGTGAAGGAAACACTGTTGGGAGTCAAGAAACTCTGGGATTCCCAAGTCTATTTTATTCTGATAGGAGCTCTGGTAGCGTAGTGCCTAAGACACTTGACTGCTAACCAGAAGGCTGGCGGTTCAAACCCACCAGGCACTCCTTGGAAGGAAGGCTGGGCAATCTACTTCCATAGTGATAACGCCTCGGCAACCAAGGAGGGGTAGCTATGAGTCAGGTCCAACTTGACCGCACATAACAACAACAACAACAACATTTTATTCTGATAACGAAAGTGTCTTAAATTCTTTGTGTCAGTTTTCTTGTGAACGTTGGAGCCAGACCTGGATTAAATACTAATTTGGATACATATTACTCTATTACTCAGTTAACCTCTTTGGGCTCAGTTTCTCCTTCTATGAAACAGCCTTAATAACCCATGACTTAATCCATGATTTAATTATCCATGCCTTAGTAACCCGACTTAACTGAGTGCTCACTGTGCGCAGGTACTGTGCTTGAACATGCCTGCAATCTTTGTAACAATGTTATAGGAATTTACCATTCTTATTCCTGCTTTCCAGTAGAAGTGGGAAGAATAGATAAGCAGTGGAAGGGATAGAATAAGATAATTGGTGTAAAATGTTGTATCACCTGGTACACAGCAGATTCTCTGGAAATAGGAGCTGTTGGGATTCCTGTTGACTCCACCATGACCCTCCTTTCCCTATTTTAGCCGTGCTTTGAAGAGGAGAACTACATGTTTAGACAACCTGAAGTTCAGGAATAGACATTAAGTTCAAAGAGTACAAATAAAACCTTATTTTTATTTTCTCACAGGAATGGCAAAAACTCAACTATGATATCTATGCCCTGAGGCAGATTCGAAGGGAAGTGAGAAACAGATGGAAATGCATTTTAGAAGCTTTAGGTGAGTCTGAAAGTGATGGTGAAATGGTAAAAATGGTTGTGAATGTTATTCTTCACTTTATCCACCATGATTTTTATAAAAGGAGTATCAGTATAGACTCATTTTAAGGTTACTGTGTACTCATTATTTTCCCAGTCCTGCTTTCCATCTCTCCTTGAGCATAAACATCTGCTATTTCTGTCATCACCAGACCTTGTCTTCAGGACGAGCTCCACCGTGTGTTACTCCATCTGTTCCTCGTATAGGGTAGAGCAGGGCATTGGAGTCGTATGGGCACCACCATTGAATTGATTGGCATCATACATGGATTGAATTAGATGAGGATGATTGGCCAATTAGTAGTACTTATAAGATGAGGCAGATTTGGAAAAATATTGTTTGTAAGAGAGGCAGAAAAACTGCCCTTAGTATTTCAGAAGAACTGAAAGGAAGAAAAGCTTCAACATCGGGAGAATTATTGTGACCATTAGGTAGATATTAGGTATTGTTTTTCTTAATTCAGTCAGAGTTGTGATACATTAAACATGGCCCCCACATCGTAACATAAACCCACTGCCATTGAGTCTATTTCAACCCACAGCAACTCTATTGGATTTCTGAGGCTGTAAATCTTTTTGGAAGTAGATTGTCTCATCTTTCTCCTGCACAGCAACTCTGGTGGGTTTGAACCACTGACCTTCTGGTTAGCACCTTACCCGCTATTCCACCAGAGCTCCTTATATCATAACACAAGCTTGTTTTAATGTTTAAAATATGAATTTATCAATTTTGAGGTAATTATTTAGTTTTGTAAGAGAAAATGACACGTTGGTATCATAACATTTCAAAAGTAGATGCCAAATTGCTAGCTCCTGTTGCTTTACTTGGTGTGGAGTGGGATAGGATGGAGCCTTTACCCACTTTGCTCTTGGGAGTGGAAGGCGGGCTTCAAACATGAACAAAAAGGGTAGCAAGCAGTCAGTGGGTTGGTATCTGAGGCTTAACTGTGTTAAAAAATAAAATTCAGTAAGAAGAACAATTGAAAGAATTTTGATGAAAGACCCATCTGTCCCTCGTCACTCAAGGAGTGATGCCTTTGGCTTCAGATTTCTGATGTAGGCAGAGACTTCACATTGGGGCCCTTCTAATCTCCTTGGTACATGTTGTTGTAGAGGCATCATTTCCTTATGACTACCTTACTTTACAATGAGGGATATTTTGTTTACCTTAGGTTTTCAAAAGGAAGCAGACTCTTTGTTGTCAGTTACTAAACTGAGCACCATCAGTGATTCTAAAAACACAAGGCAAGCCCGAGAAATGCTGTTAAAACTGGCTGAAGAGACGAATATTTTCCCAACAAGTTGGGAGCTGTCAGAAAGATACCTCTTTGTTGTGGTAAGTTGATGCCTTTTTTTATCTGTCTTAATTTTGCTTGACGTTTTTCTCTTTTCTATTTAGCATGTAAGGAGTTCTGGTGGTGTAGTGTCTTAAGGCATTTGACTGCTAACCAGAAGGTTGGTGGTTCAAACCCACCAGCCACTCTGTGGAAGGAAAATGGGGCAATCTACTTTGGTAAAGAGTTACCGCCTTGGCAACCTAGTGGGGGTTGGTCCAAGTTGGAATCAATTCAATGGCAGTGGGTTTGATTTGCTTTTGGTATTTAGCTGTGAAACAACAATGCATTTTATTTCATACACACCTCACACCAGCACCCTCACCACCCCACTGTGAGGTGCCAGATGATGTTGGCATCATATGTATTAGTGGCCAGTGGCCAGTGGCATCAGAATCACCTAGAGGACTTTAAAAATTCTGATTTCTGGATCACATTCAGGCCTACAGCTTGGGTTGTGGCTCAAGAATCTTGTTTATTTTGCTGGTTCTGCTATGTAAGCATAGTGCCTAAGGCACATGACTGCTAACCAGAAGGCTGGTGGTTCAAACCCACCAGCCATTCCTCAGAAGAAAGATTGGGCAATCTACTTCTATGGTGATACCACCTTGGAAACCCAAGGAGGGGTTGCTATGAGTTGGGTCCAACTTGCTGGCACATAACAACAACAACAAAGCTATGTAAGCAGCTTTTTGAACCATGAGTCAAAGAAATTTGAGAAGTATTGTTTCTGTAACCTAAGTTTGAAAAAGATTTGGAAACAACTCTGAAGGTGGTGAGATGTTTCTTGGATAATGTAAATAAGTTATTAAAGTATGTCTCTTAAGTTTGCTGAAAAAATGAATAAATATTTTATTAGCTTATTGTAATTTCTAAGGTGGATTTTGTTGTTAGATTGATTTTCCCATCAACGTGGTGAATCTTAGAGATGTATATGTGTAATTATTATATTTTTTTTTTTTGGCAGGACCGTCTTATTGCTCTTGATGCTGCAGAAGAGTTCTTTAAACTTGCCAGTCAGACTTACCCTAAGAAGCATGGACGCCCGTGCCTGGCAGATGGGCAGAAAGAACTGCACTACCTTCCGTTTCCAAGTCCTTAAAGGAAAGGATCAGAGGCAGAATTGGAATTCTTCCGTGGGACTCAACAGCCGACCACCTGAACAATTGCATGTAGAAGAGAGTGAGCAAGTGGAGGACTTGCTAAGTAAAAAGGATTCTGAATCCTGCAAAACTCTAAGGCTCTGGATAGCCAGTCTTCATAAGGACCTTACTATCTGAAATGTTCAGACTGCATTGAAATACCTGGTGATCTTACACCTAGAGAATTAAAGAGTGGGTCAATGGGATATGTCATCACAGATGCTTAGATTCTAAGACCATACTGCCCCGGTTTTGATTTTGCTTTTGGTTGTACAATAACCTCCTATCATTAATCCTATTAGGAGAATGGGATGTTCTAGTTAATGAAACAATATGATTAATAGAGCTCTCATAGAGTCCAAATGTGGATTATCAATTTCTGAATAATTACCATCCAGTATAGGTTAGCATCATAAGAATACTGGGCACACTGTGCCTTTCTTTGTTTGGCAAGAACCTACAGAACCTTGGATGGTATCATTAGCATCATGTTGAGTTTCAGTTAGGATTATTCAGAAGTTTAGTTGTAGCAGATAACAGAGATGTCTAGGAGTACTGCTCAGAAGTGAGTTCCAAAGAAAATGGCTCCAAACAGAGCTTCTGCAACCACATGTAAAAGTTCCCACCTCAGTTGTGGCACATGTGTCTTGAATTCTCACATTATTGATATCAGGTTCCCTCATTTTTACATGTTGTCCATTCCTGTCTAATCAAACCTTAATATGTTATCTGGGATGGCATCTGTAAGTTGAAACACCTCACCCACCACTTCCCTTTCTTCTGCTAATCTGTTTCCGGCTTATTGGCTGAGAGTTGCACCAGCCACGGTCTTTCCTGCGGCTTGTGGCTACGCAGATGGTGCTGCGCTGAAGAAGGCTGTTGCTGGTCCCCCTCCAGTTATGGAGAGGCTCTCCAACATGGAGCAGTGTTGCAAATGCAGCCTGTTTCTAGACACAGCCTGGGACGTCCAGCTTCAAAAGTGACTTGCATCTTAAGCAAGAAGATTGCCAGCATATCATGGTCTCTTTTATTGAAAAGACTTTGAAGACTTGTAGGATGTATCGGTAGATTACTGTGAACAATGGCTATTGTTATTACTTTGACAGATTTTGCATTACTGACTTCTAGTTTAAAAAGTAGCTTGTATTTCGTCTTCTCAGTAGGTTATGCCTTGAAAATGTCCATATCCTGACTAGCCCTTTGGTAAAATGTAAAATAAATGTTTCAGATATTTTTTAGGAGGAATATGTTTCAGGAAAGTTCTTCCTAGTTTACTAAGTAAGTTAAAAGTTTTATTTTTTTATATTTGGTACTTAATCCCTCTCTCATGTTGTTTACAATTCGCCTGCAGAGATTTTCCCTCATTTCTGTAGACTCTTGCAAGATAAACACCAAACAGTGAAACAAACAAACAAAACATACAATAAAACAAAAAATCTTTGAAAATTGTATTGTTTTAATCTTTGTACTAAGGATTGGTGTTTTGCCCTTCTGCCTTTTTTTATGTCATAGTAAATGAGATTATTTGCATCAATGGAGAATAAGATGTTATCATTGCTTTAATTTTGGTAATGAGTGAATGAGGATAAGAGTGCCTTTATGATTATGAAAACACAGAGGATGATTGGGGATTTGCTCCTAAGAAATTAAAAGGTTTCTATATTTACTTTCCAGTTGGATGTGTATGTGTTATATTTCTGAGAAAAAAAAGAAAGAACATGATATCCTTTCTGTAATCCCTTTAAATTAAAAGGCAGAGAAGCTGAGGCGCAGATGGGCTTAAGGACTTTGCCTCATTCTAAAACCAGTCAAGGGCAGATCTGTAAAGTCCAGTCCTCTATGTGAACACTCCAGTGTATGAAAGAGACTTGAGGAGCACTGAAGTGACCCCTTAAGAAGTCACATCCACAGACGATGTGTGGGAGGTTCAAGCGTTTGCCTACTTGTAGTGTCTCGCTGGTGACTACTGTTGTTGACTTCCCCACGGTTCATCTGTGTGTGCACGATGATTTTAGGTGGTAGGTGGAGGTTTTATATTAGTAGCTATTTTAATGTATACCAGGAAAAGACTTGTAATTATCAATCAAACACCTGCTTTCCTATTTCATGAATATTATTATAACACAGAACAATAAAGTGTTTTTTCTTAATGGGCACCTGGAGAGGCACAGAGGACACATTTACCAAAGTAATGAGGAATGCATTGGTGATGGTACACCAGCATCATTGAGAAGCTCAGAGGTAGCTCTGTGGGCAGAAGCTGGTACAGAAGTGGGCTCACTGACAGCAATGAGGATGCTCCAGTGTCCCTCCAAAATAAAGGTTGAATCATGACATCTTACCCCTCCAATCCCTGAAAAGACTGCAGAACGCCTGGCAGACTTGTTCCTGTTCTGGAGGCAGCATGTCCCTCACCTGGAAATACTACTCTGTCCCATATAACTAGGTGATACGAAACACTGCCAGCTCTGAGTGAGGCCCAGGGTAGAAAAGAGTCCCAAAGCAGGTCCAAACTTTGGCCAGTGGCCTGCCCTTTGGATTATAGGACCCTGCAGACCCTGTGGTATCAAAAATTTCAGTGGTGAGAAAAGATGCCACATGGAATTTAAGGCTAGGCCAGTAGGAGAATGAGGACATAGATACCCAGGGTTCTGAAGGAAAGCCATGCAATTTCCAGGAGGAAATTAAGTCTCATTCAGCAAACAACTTTTTGTGTGCTACTGGACTCTAGAAGAGATGGTAAATAAATGACATTGTGGCCTGAACTATCATATGAGGTGGATTTTCTCAAACTTACCAAGTTAAAAGATTTGATGGGCCTAGCAGAATTTCACTTTTTTTCTTTTTACATTTTGATATATTTAAAATTTTTTAGGATCGTTTTAGTTTTGAAAAATTGAAAGATAGTTCAGAGAGTTCCATATATCCCACACCCAGTGTGGTAGTTAAAGTTGTATGTCAACTTGGTTGGGCCTGGCTGAGTGGCTGGGCAGCTGGTGGTAGTTATTCCCCATGATGAGACTGGCAATCAAGTTCATGGTGGAATCTACCACAAGCAGCTGAGTAGCTGCTTTGGGTATGTAGTTTGCTTCCCATATATAAGAAGCAGCTTTGGGAATGGTCTCTAGCCTATGGCACACTTGGACCCTGCATGTAGCTGTGTCGTTGCTCAGCAGCCTGCTATGCTCTGCTGACCTGGGGACTTAAAATGGACTTAAGTTAATGGCCTGTCGTGAGGTTTGGTAACATCAGGACTGTGCCTTTTTACTTGTCAACATTGGGCTTGTCAGTTTTGGCAGCCAGCAGCTGTCCTAGTGAAGAAAAGCCTCTGGCTCCAGTGGGCCAGGAGCAGGAGGCAGAGCTGAAGCCCAAGGCTGAGGGGCTTTCACCCAGCCCCTAGGGTGGGGTACTTTGAACTTGGACTTAAAGCCTCCAAACTGTAAGAGAATGAACCCCTTCTTGTTAAGGCCATCCCGTTTGTGGTATATTCCTGTCAGAGTGGCACTAGGGAACCAGAACACCCAGTTTCCCCTGTTCCTAACGTCTGTCATAGCTGATGAATCAGTGGAGGCCCTAGGTAGTGTAACTGGTTAAGGTGCCTGTCTGCTGACTGAAAGGTTGGAAGTTCACGTGCACCCTGAGGTGCTGCAGAAGACAAGTCTCCCTTTTTGCTTGTGACAAATCAGCCAGTGAACACCCTGTGGAGCCAGTCTGCTCTGACGTGCATGGGGTCTCCAGGGGTTGGAATCAACTTGCCAGCAACTGGCTGTGAAGCAACATTGATACATTGTTGTTAACCAAAGTCCATACTTCATTCACATTTCCTTACTTTTACCCAATGTTCTTTTTCTGTCCCAGGATCTCATCCAGGAGACCATATTACATTTAGTTGTCTTGACTTCTTAAGTTCCTCTTGGCTATGACAATTTCTCAGACTTTCCTGATTTTGAAAACTTTGGCAGTTTTGAGAAATGAAACCAAAACCAAACCCACTGGTGTCCAGATATTTTGTGGACTGTCCGTCAGTTGGGGTTTGACTGTTTTTCCCATGCTTAGATGGGGCTGTGGGTTTTTGGAGGACCATCAAGGTACAGTGTCATTGTCATCATGTCAAAGGTATGTGCTACCAAACATGCTTTGTCATTGATAACATTAACCTTGGTTCCTTGACCAAGGGAGCGTTTGCTGGGTTTCTCCACTGCAGGTATTCTTCCCCACTCCTTTCCATACAGTGCTACTTGGAAGGAAGCCACTACAGCTAACCACTCTCAAGGGGTGGGTAATTAGCCTCCACCCCTTTAAGGTACATAGATTACCTTACATAGATTATTTGGAATGTGGCAGCCATTCATTTTTAGATGGAAGTTGTCATCTGGGATCAAGCAAGAGCAGGGCTAGAAGACACAAGTAAGTTGCCCAAGCAGGTGGCCCAGACCCGTCACCATCCACTACTTTCATACTGATCAATCTGTCTCTCAGCTCATATCATTGGCTGCCTGTATGGGTGGGCTAGGGGATCCTAGCCTTATACCCTTATAACCAGCTGAGGTTTGGTTCATGAATGAGTCATCATGGTATGACGGTGCAAATCAAAAAATAGATGTCGCCGTTCCAAAGCCTACACTGGGGTGGGGAAATTTTCCCAATGACAAGAGCTTTGGGAAGTTCATCTGCTTATCTCCTTACAGACTCATGGGCAGTGGAGAGTAGCATAGCTATTTGGTTTGAGGCCCTAGAGGAAAAATACAGGGACATGAGGGTGGTTTGGGGAAGAAACATGTGGATGACCTCTGGCAGGGGCCATGTGGAGATCTGGCATGTGAATGTCCATGAGAGAGCATCCATTGCAGAAGTGGCACTAAAGAACCAAGAAGACAGAATGACTTCACTGGCTATAATGTCAACATCTGTCATTGACCACCCCAGTGCCAGCATGGTGGCACATGATTAGAGTGGCCAT